AAATAGTTATAAAAGATAATATATACCACATCCGAATCATAGACAGGATGAGGGCCAACGGGGGCGGATACCAAAACCATCGCACTATATAATAACAAGCAATAATAAAAGTAAGAAAATTAGACAAGTACCTATCTAATCATACAAGTAAGAATTTTGTTTTTTTCAGAAAGAAGATAAGAACAAGAGGCTCAACACGGTGGTGCCGGCGACGAGATCGGCGCGGGCAATCGATGGCGGTGAAGACGGGGACAGGACATGACGGACCGCTAAACCTAGACAAATCTTGAGGAAAATGGAGCTTGGAGGTCGAGCTTCGAGAGGAGAAAGCTTAACTACTGTGGCTTGGGCATTTCATAGAACACCTCATGTGCATAGGAGGTGAGATAGAGCACCACAAAGCTCTCCCCTCGCCGGCCAAAAAAAATAGAGCAGTGTGGAGTGCTCTGCTCGCCGGCGATAGGGTATATATAGGCAACTCATTGGTCCCGGTTCGTGGCTGGAACCGGGACTAAAGGCCTTCTGTCTCGGTTCCAGCCATGAACCGGGACCAATGGATGTGGTCCTAGAGCGAGGACCATTGGTCCCGGTTCGTGCCTGGAACTGGGACAAATGGGTCCAGATGAACTGGGATCAATGCCCCACGAGGCCTGATCGGCCCCTTGGGCTCACGAACTGGGACGTATGCCTCCATTGGTCCCGGTTTGTGACTGAACCGGGACTAATGGGCTGGCCAGGCCTGAACCAAAGCCTTGTTTTCTACTAGTGCATGTCCGCCAAGACATGTATACAATATATACTCGCCCATAGGGCTCATCAATACAACAAGCAATTCCACCAATTCTCCCCTCTAATCCTCTTACACCCTCACGTTGCCTCCAACTGCAAGTTTCCCGCGTCCGGCCCTTGGTGCTCCGTGTCACACGTTCGTAGGGTCATTCGATAATCCAAATCCGGCCGGGAGTGCCCATTTGGTGGGGCAGTCGTGAATGTGGTGTGCCCTTCTAGCCGCCATCCGCCCAAAACATGGGATGCTCGCCAGAGATCCATGTCAGATCTGGCATAGCGCTTAGTTTTCACGCATGGGGTACTGGTAGTTGGCAGGAGGGATACGTGGGCAGGAGGCTGGAGCGGAGCTCTCTTGTCGTGTCCAGGGAGTCTAGTCTCATGCGAGGTGGCCCATCGTTCTTCAAGGGATGGGTAAGGTTGGTTCTCTTCAGACGTCGAGGCAGTTACTTTCTCTTTGCTTGTCTGTATGGTTTTGATTTTCAATGAATGAGCCCTTGGTAATGCTTTTATCTCTATTCTATGTCACGGGCACCTATCCAGTCTATAAACAAATATTAATGAGAAAATATAAACTACTATACTAAAGATAACATGTGATAGAGATCCTAGAATCTAAAAAGGCATATTAGGGCTATACAGATTCGAACAGTAGACCTTCTTCGTAAAACATATCACCTTCGTAGGTGGGTGTGCGTCTGCTCCTGTCTATTGGTGGTTCGATGCCCTCGAGCATGGGCAAGCGGCTATAGGTTTTCCCTCTTCATTTACAATGGCACGTTGGTGGTAAAGAGTTTCTGGTACCTCATCTACTCCTACTTTGCTTCGTTGGTGGTGTGGTCACCTTTGTGTCGGGCTTCTCGTGTGACTCTTGTTGCATGGGCAGTTCCTTGGTCGGCATTGGGATCGTGGAGTGCTCCGCGAACCTGGTAGCCATTCTGGTCTTCTTCATTGGTAGCCAGGTCTATGTTGTTCTTTCGTGCTCTATAGTGAGCTATCTGCTAGTTGACAGTACAACACCCTATGAGCTAGGGAGAGAAGGCAGAGGCCCTCTTCACTGGCTCCACTATGAGATGGCATGGTATACTTGTCTTATCCTTCTAGAAGCGTGCAAACAAGTGTTCTTCATACGTGGTGTCCCTCTTGTGATCCTCACCTTCCTCATGTGTTGGCTATTGTTGAAGACGTTGGAATCAGTGCTGCAGGTTGTCTTCCTTTTCTTCTCATGTTTGTCTGGTAGGCCGGTTGGTGGATAGACATGTGTAAGCACTATGTATTTTTTAATACCTTTTTCTTTGCTTGTTGTATGTCGTTTTCTAATCCTGGCTGGTACATGGCTTTGTTAATTCCAAGTCGGACTCTTCTTGAGCCTTCTTTCTAAAGAAACATTGCAAATAAGCACTTTTTTAATTCAAACTTGTAAACTGTACATGGACATCACAAGCATGTCTTATAGTTAAACCCAATGAAAAATCAAATCCCTATCATGACATTAAAATTTGTTTGCATTTATAAACATGAAAGAAAACACGAAATTTATTGGTGATCACGTCCTTAGTGGAACACATTGGTTTTGGGACACAGATGCATCCTAGGGTTCGTCCATTAGCCAATGATGCTCTTGCGTATCCAAGCTTTGAGATCTCGCAACTCATCACCGGGGGAATCTACTAGCGTGGTCGAGTGTATTGTTGTAGACAAACATGGGTACAAATAATCAAATTTGAAAATGCTACAAGAATTTAGAGATGGATTTCATCACAAAAATATCCAATCACCTCTATCTTTGTAAGCAGTTCAGGTGCGACCAGCGCAAAATGAGTATCTGTCAACCATCCATGTTTATAAATCCATCTGTAGCACAAGTGACGGATCGTAGTATCCATCTGGGCACCTAATGTGGCCTGCCGGGGTAGGGAGGAAGGTTGTGGTGGTGGGTGCGTGAGAAGGAAGATCATGCAGAGTCCAGTCTGGGTTTTTTCAATATCTCATCCGCTTATGCTTCCTTTCATCCAAGTGTATGGACCCATATGGATGTGAAGCATATTGGAACATCTAAATTTTGTTGGTTCTTGGTGAAGGTGTCATTCTTGATGCCTCTAAATACTAATGCACCCTAGCTCTCTTGCTATGTGTACCTAGACACATGAGTCCTCTCGTATGGTGGCCATAACATGGGAAACATACTCTTCAACCGGCTTATATTATCCTCTATTGTGAGAGTTGTGTGTCACACTTTAATTTGGTACCTAGTTTTTTATTCTCTATATTTGTTGTTGCACTATATATGAATATACTTGTCACAATAATTTATATTTAACTCACTCATACAAAATTTAGGAGTTTACGATGGCCCATGGCCATTACCTTCCTTAGGCAAGTTGCATTATAAGGATCTCTAATTTTGTTTACAATTACACACTAACATAAAAATGATAGTCAAATCCATTTGTGCATGATATTATCTAGTTTGATAAACATTGGGATCACGGGATAACCATGTTTTATAGTGCACACATGTTTTACCCCCTAGTTTGCATTTTTTTGACGATTGCCCCATTTACTGAGAATTTATCCCATCTAACCCACTTAGCAAGAATTTTTCCACAATTTACTCCATTCAAGTTGTGGGCCATTTTCACACATTAGAACCACATCTTAACTAGTTGTGGTGTGGCACCTAGCTTACTAAGCCACATTCTGTCATGGTTAACGTAAATGACCATCCATAGTGGCACACAAATGTAAGCCTACACGATCTAACCATGATCACATGGTGTTGATTGATCAATGGCGATGGGGAAAATGTTGAGTGGACGAATAACTTTGATCATGTGGCTTATGATTTCAAGGTTATGTTCTTGCTCTACCTTAGTCTTTGTTGGAGGACAATGAAGAAGAGTCGGGTTTGGGGGATATGGATGCATTTGATTTCGAGGACCATTATGTTGTTATTTCGTCCTGGCCAAACGAATGGTGTGTGTGCAGGGTTGTTGGTATCTACATGTGCCTAGCTTTTGCTATTTCGTCTACGTGACCCCTAATCTTTATTGAACTCAAACTAGAATACACGAGGAAGAAAAACAAATTGGAAAGAAATTAGCACATAGCTGCACTATCTCTTAGGTTCATCATCAGCTCACCACATGTAGGCAACGTCCCGAGCCTGTTGTTGTGGGTCCGATGATCACTGGTTCCTATATCTCCCGGACACTACAACACGGAGGTCCCCGAGCCATGGTTGAGTCTGGTCTTAGCATAAAGTGTCTGGTCTCTAACACGGGAACCATTACCACACGCCTGGGTGCATCTATCAAAGACGTGTGTGCTAAGCTGAAGGGCATGATACTCGCAGTACCACATTGGTGTATAGCTGGAGAAAGATTTTGTGTGGTGCGCGGATGATGGTGTGGGAGAGGCGGCATACAGCGGTCGCCAACAAAGCGTAGGAAGGTCATCATGGAGGTTGCTTGACAAGAGTGCCCCATTTCCTTTAGACTACTCCACGATAGCTTTCATTGTATTGTGGGGCACTCATGGCCTATTTGTTGTGGCATGCAATGGCTGCCAACATGTGATCTTGAGCTGTTGTAATGGGTCTGAAACTTATATACGATAAAATATAGATATATTGCCACTAAATGAGTAAACGGGTAGAATTCTGATGTAGTGAGATAATAGCTTTCAGATGGCCAACTAAGAAGTAAAGAGTGGAATTCACTCCTTATATTGGATAAACATAGATATTAGATCATGTCTTCTCAATTATGGAAACTATAGAACTATCCCTCTACAAACATATTTATGTAAATTTGGGTGTAAAAATATGACCACTGTGGAGTTGTGCACAAGATCACAAGATGGATTTTAGCGAGTTAATTACTTAACTCGTAATAGCTATTGTAACTTATTTATGGATTTTTGGAATGCTTGCAAATTGTGAAGAATAAGTCACCTATAACATATCCCAGCTGCTTCTACATGTACAACAATGGCCGGATTGGATTCACCGTAGACAGCAAGAAGAACAAAACATACTTGGTAATGCAATTCAAACTTGAAAACCAAAAGATGGCAACGACCAGCACACCGTACAATTAAACACAAGAGAAAATCATATCTCAATCGTGACGTTGAATTTCTTTTGGCTAATAGGAAAAACATTAAGAAAAACAACAAATACATCATCATATCAGTGGAATGAATGTTAGAGTTCATCCATCAGCCGGTGGTGCTGTTGTGTAGCCAAGCTCTGAGATCTCCCAACTCGTCGTTGGGGCCACCTCCTGGTGCGACCGAGTGTATTGCTGGATACATAGAGAAGAAAAGGACATGTAAACACAGTTGGAAAATGGAAATGTAGTGTGTGAATATAAAGATGGATTTCACAATAAAATTGTCATATCACCTCCATCTTTGTCAGCAATTCCGCGGCGGTTGGCGCTGAGACAAGTATGTGTGTACAGTCTGGGTTGATGAAGCCCTCTCTCGCGCCTTTGTCAAACAGTGCAAGCAGGGTATCATAGTAACCATCCACATTGAGCAGCCCAACCTATATTGGTATGATTTTTGTTAACGACGGAAAGCTCGATTCGTTTGGGGCAAAAACTATGGCCAATTTTTCCTCCAGTACAATCTATCTGTTATGCTCGGTTGCTTACGGGTTTGTTGTGAATTCCGAGTTGGGACCATGTTATCATCTCCAACAGCTCCTCCATGGTTCCGTACCCCCCTGATGAACAGAAAATTGTAAGCAAGCTATACTAACTCATCGGCGCCACGATCGGTCGATGATGGTAGAATGACTAGGAAGATCGTTAAGCGTGTGGCACCTGGAAGAGCGATGAATGCTTCAGATCGTCGAGCCATCTCTGCTTTCCTCTCGTGCATGTCAGATACAACCTTTACTTCCCCCACGCTCTCACCTAATATCTGTTGGTACAAGTTAAAGTGGAACTTTCAGAGAAACGGAAGCTGGATATAATGTTGTACATACAAAATCAGACCTGTGTCAATCTGTTGCCCCCCCAAAATTGCATGGTCGTCATTTCAGTAAGATGAAATTAATTTGAATGTTTTGCCACACACTTCAAATTCAGCTGAGATAACCACACGTGCCAAGTGAACTTTCAGGTGTACGGCTAAATTCAGATGACAAAACAAAACAAAACAAAAACTTGACCAAATTCACATAGACTGTCGGGTTTTTTTTACTATTATTGCAGGGAAATCGCCAGAACTTGTATGCCTAGAGAAGCAGAGAGGATGGTTTCTTTCACAGTGCAATTTCACTGTCTCGGCATGAACCAGAACATGCGAGCAGGGCTTTTCTTACTCTGGTTAGACTAGACATACACAATGCTACGTACAGCACATAGATAACATCTGAAGCATCGAGATTGCGTACCTCGACAGGCATGAGAGCCCTGGGAATCACCCTGCCAAGAGATCGAACGAAGAAACAGTCAGTGCATGTGTTAGACGGGCAGACCAGAGCACTCTGCAAGAAGCAGAGGAAGCGTTGTATACGGAGGGACGTACCCGACGACACGGCGGCCGCCGTCGAGCACCGTCCGCGCGACGAGGCCCATGAGGCCGATGCTGCCGCCGCCGTAGACCAGGTCGACGCCCCTCGTCACCTGCGCCAGTGCATGAGCAACCCCATGCGTGAGCTCAAGAGCTTATAACCTGACAAGAAGACGCACGGTGGCGAAGCCGAGCCAGTCCGATTCGCCTACCAGCTCGCGGCCAAGGTCGAGGGCCGCGTCGCCGAACACCCTGCGGCGGCCGGCGCTGCTGCCGCAGAAGACGCACACCGTGCGGAACCTGCACTCCGCCCTGTCCCCCATCGCCGGCCGGCCGTGCCCGTCTCCAACCGGCCCCGGCCTGCGGCGGCGGCGGCGTCGCCGTCGTCGTGTCTGGTCTGGCTCACTGGCTGGGCGCGCGCGCGTGCTGCGTTATGGTGGCGTGGCGGTAGCTGCAAGGGGCAGTGACGCTGGCTGATGATCGCCCGCCCCCATTTAACTCCACCGTCGCTGTCGCTTTGGCGCGCGGTGACCACGCCACGCCGTGACAACTGACACCAATCACCGTGTCCCCGGGTCCCCGTCGTCTGACGAAAGCCTGTGAACTCTGAATCGTCCCCGTCCCCGCCGTCCTCGAGAATCCTGCCTGTCCCGTCAGGCCGTCACACTGCCCGCTGCCCCGCCTCAGGATAACGGCATGGGCCGCACTGTTCTGGCCGGTGCCGCTGCCGCCTGGCATGGACCATCATCCCTTTCTGTCGCGCACCCTACAGCAGTACGCCATGCAAATCTGGATCGTCTGTCTAATCATGCATGCCTCCTTTGTGGCACGAGGAGCATGCATGGGCTGCGCATTTCACCACTGAAATTTACGTGCTGCTGCTATCAGTGTCCGGCACCGGCAGTAACAGCTCGTACTGTACTAACACACTTTTTGGGTTTTGGTTTCGGGTCCCGATCGAGCAGGTGAAAGCTTAGCACTCGCGATCGAAGATCATTAACATTTAGCAAGATCGTTAGTCAAACGTGGCCGAATGCACAGGTCAAGGGGCAGGGCGATCGCTACGTGCCAACGGCAAAGCGAAACGCAAGCGCGCACAGGTTGGAATGGATGTTTATTTTAGCCGGACGGCGCTGGATTCTGATCTGATGAGGACATCGTATATGGGACGGCCAATCCGAATGAACCCGGCAATAGTTTGTGCGACTGGAGTCACTGGCCGATCCTCCGACGCGCGTCACGGGATCTTCGGGAACACGACATGCGCGCCGTCGTTTGCTTCTCGGAACGATTAAAAATGGCCGATTAAGGGGCTGTTTGGTTTGTGACTAACCTTGTCAAAGATTGCTACATCTAAAGTTAAACAAGTTTGATCAACTTAAGTGAGTATTTGGTTTAAGCCACATCTTAGGCAAGTCACACTTGGACCCCACATGGCATACACATAAAAAATATGGTAAAATTCCCTCAGTCTTGCCAACGTGTGGCTCTCATTTTGATGAACTAACCTTAGACAAATTTGACAAAAATATATGACAAAGTATGGCAATACTAGTCCTAGAACCAAACAACCCCTAAAGCTCGCACCGTTCCCCCATATTTGTCAAGTTTCACCGTTGGTGACCCAGCTTGGCCAAATTTCGTGTTTTGACCCTTTTCGCATAGAAATTCAGGATCTGACCGCTGTTGGAAAGAATTTCGGGATCTGGCCCTTTTTCCTACCGTCAGGGGTTCTGGCGGTAGGGTTAGACAGCCTACCGCCAGAACCTGCGGCGGTAGGATACTTATCCACGTCAGCAGCGTTAACGGTCTTCGTCCCACCCTACCGCCGCTGGTTCTGGCGGTAGGCTGTCCGACCCTACCGCCAGGGCCCTTGGCGGTAGGGTTTAGGGCAGTTATAAGCCATGGGCCGCCCCACCCCTCCCCCTTCTCCCCCCAACCAGCCGCCCCAAGAACAGAGGAGTTCTTCCTCTCGCCCCCTCTCTCATCTCCTCCACTCCCCCCTCCGATCTTCGTCATTTGTTCACCGTTTTTGCGGATCGAGATGGCCCCGAAGAAAGCAAAGTAAGCTTCTTCGATCCCTTCAATTAGTTTTAGTCAAATAGCTTCCGATTTGTCGCATTATTTGATTCAAATCACTCCCCTTTTTGCACTAGATTTAATTATTTTGAACCCTAGGATTTGATTTAGGTTGATTCTAGATGTTATATTGTGTTAGATATGAACTCTAGTCACTAGTTGGTATGGTTATGTGAAGATGAACTCTAGTTCATATTATTTTTGGAGGACTTTTTTTGGTATGATGCATGTTGGAGGAATTTATTGTGATATGATGATGCATGTTGATATGCTATGATGCAAGTAGTGGGTATAGTTGGAGAACAAATGTTGAACCCTCAAGATGAAGCTAGTTCATAATTTTTTGTGTTAAAAAAATTTATGATATGATGAATATTGGAGATATGATGCATGTTGGATGTGGTTGGAGAAATATGATATGGTATGATGCATTTGACCACATGATGAACCCTAGGTTTTGAAAAAAAATTCAAGGTGATTAACCTTTGTGTGATGAATCTATATGTTTAGGTACGAAAGCTTGGAGCAAGCACCGCCTGCTCCTCCCATTCCTCTCCAGCACATTCCGTCAGAGATGCCGCTCCCGTACATGTATGAGACCTTCCCCGAGCTACTACAGCCGGTGGGATCTATCTCAGACGAGGTCCTAGAGGCCACGAGGGCAAAGCGGTGGCACGAGAGGGCAGAGCGGATCCTTGACGATGTCATGGCTTGGTCGCAGAGCGTGAAGGGAAGTGAAGGCAAAGATGGAGGCAGATCCAAGTATCTGTCGTGTCCGTCGGGAAGCGTGCATTGAAGTTGCGCATAATTACGCCAACTATCTCCTGAGCAATTTGGGCCGAAGAATCTACTTCGAGAGCAATGCAGAGGAGAGAGCCAGGATGCCGCCCCCAAGTGCATCTGCGTTCGATATCATCAACTAGGGAAGGGCGGAGGCGAAAACTCTAGCGGGCAGGGCAAGGTGGGAGTGCTTGAACGGTCGGATGCCGACTAGCGTTCCGCCTCCGCCTAAACCGGTGGATCCGCTGCCGTTTCTGTCTCCACGGCCCGGGCTAACATACGAGGAGCTCTGAAGATGATGATGTCTGCCCGCTCTTCGAACTTATCCGCAAATCGTCCTATTAGTTTGTCTTGTGTCTTTCAATTATGTTCTCGATGAATAATGAAACTATGTGCCGCTTGTAATGCTATTTGTTCATTATCTATTCAGTTTGAACATTAAGTTAACTTCATGTCATTTGTTCTTGTCAATATGAGTATGCTTTCATGGTAAAAGAAAATAAGTATATACTTTCATGGTAAAAGATATTGATTTTGAAAAGAAGCAATCAATTAAACTTGAAACTCATAAAACACATGACCCTCCCGTCATGGACCCTGGCGGTAAGGTCACACAACCTACCGCTAGGGCACTTCAATATTTTGTTACAGAAACTTTCCGAGGCAAAAACCCAGCAACCACCTACCGCCAGGGGTTCTGACGGTAGGGTTAGAGAGGCTACCGCCAGGGCCCCTGGCAGTAGGGTACTTATCCACGTCAGCTCAGGCAAACGGTTGTCGTTCCCCTCCGTCGCACCCTGCCGCCAGGTGCCCTGGTGGTAGGATGTCTAAACCTACCGCCAGAACCCCTCGTGGTAGCGAAAGGGTCAGATCCCGAAATTCTTTTCAACAGGGGTCAGATCCTGAATTTCTATGCGAAAAAGGTCAAAACACGAAATTTAGCCACCCAGCTCAAGCAACTGTCTCCATCCCCACTTCAGAACCATTCTAACTTTTACAGCAGGTAGCTAGAGCCTAGAGGGACAAACAGAGGTACAGTACAAGGTACAAAACGGAATTAGATCAGTGCAATCGCAAAAAAGAGGTCTAAGTTGGGGAATCTTTTCCATTGTCTGACCAATGTCACCTAAAATATTACTAATTATTATTAATGCAACCAATGAGGCGTTGAACTTGACACTGGGGGCGTGTACACATAACGCTACAGCAGAAGCAGAATGAAGAAAATTTATGTATGAGTTGCAAACTAGTTTGTCCATGTGAGCAAGCAAAGCTGCTGCCTTGTGACCATGAGGTCATGGGTTCAAGTCCTGGAAACAGCCTCTTACAGAAATGTAGGGAAAGGCTGCGTACTATAGACCCAAAGTGGTCGGACCCTTCCCTGGACCCTGCGCAAGCAGGAGCTACATGCACCAGGTTGCCCTTTTTTTGCAAACTAGTTTGTCCATGTGAGCAAGCAAGCAAGCAGCTAGGATTAATAATTGTAGTTCTCCTTGTCCAAGCTCCTCGTCATGCTCAGGCCTTTCAGAGACAAGCTGTTCAACCTCCTCGCGGCGGCCGAGACATCCGACCCCGCGTTGCTCTCGGAGTCCAACGACGAGAGTGCCACCCTTCTGCTGTAATACGGCACGCCCCCAGATCGCTGCCTCTGCAGCTGAAAGGGCCCTCTCCGACTGCCGCCGATGTCCTCCAGCCTTGCTTTGGCAGCCTTGGTCAGGCTCATGTACCCCGTCCCTCCACCACTGTCGGATCTCGCCTCTGATGCCAAGGTGTTGGTAGAGTATCCCGGGGTCACCGAGGATGTCGACGGAGAGCTCTCGTCGCACCCAAAGTCAGAAGAGGAAGCCGAGAGCGCCGGTGGAGGCATTGCTTCAACCCTGGTCGAGTCGTTGTTTCTTCTGATCTTGGTGGAGCCAGCACATGAATATTTGGAGTCTTCGAAGTTCATCGTCTCCTTGTAGCTATGTAGACGACGCGACTCGCCGATGTTTGAGTCCATATGCGTGCTCTCCCAGGGCTTTGTTGCCATCCATCCTTCTATGTAAGACTCATGGTTCCTGAGAGAGCTTGCAGGGGAGCTTGACCTTCCACTGTATCTTGAACTCCCACGCTGAAAGAATTATGAGCAAAAGTAAATAAATAAAAAAAGTGAAGAAATAAAGATCAGTATCAAAAGTAAGGTGTGTACGTATTAGGAAATTCTCATTGATTCAGCATATACCTGGTGAGAATGTGCATAAGCAATTGCCCTTTGTCTCTTCACTGCGCCCTCATGTTTCATGTGCATTCTTGATTTTACTTGGTTGACAGAACCTTGCCTGTCACACCATCGTCCCTGCAGTGCTAAGAATGTCAGCTAAGCTGTCACAAACAAGTTTGACGCCACATTTCCTAATCAACTTACATAATTCCTCCAGTGAGAACACCAAATATGCTATATTACTTGGTTATCCTAATTAATTGACAGAAATGTCAACATGACCTCTGATCTCCATTGTGTGTAAGTTGTGTTCTGAACTTCAAACATGGTGGGCAATCACTAACTGCATAAGGCCTCATTGGTGTATACGTACTGCTTTTCTCACCTAACATCGTCACTACGAGGAACAAGCATGGTACATGTGAAAGCACAAATAGCAATCTTATAATGGACCCAATCATCACCCAAAACAAAAAAAAGGTTTAACTGTCCATATCAGTCTTAGTCATACTGGCAGAAGTCCTTTTCAGATAAAAGTAGCCATATTCACACATCCTTTTCTTTTTAAGAACAAATGCAAACCTCTCAAATTATACATGAGCCGTTCTTAAAAAAAAGATAGACAAGTTGAAAATATAACAACATAGTAGACTTCATCAAAACTCTTCCGCTAATTAAA